TGGGCTAAACTCAGGAACAGGAGCCCTCCGTGGGCTAAACTCAGGAACTGGAGCCCTCTTTGGGCTGGATTCGGGGGCTGGAGCCGACACTGGAGCGAGCTCTGGGGCTGGAGCCAACACTGGAGCAAGCTCTGGGGCTAGGATGAGGGTGGAGAACAGTCTTTTTCTCCTCATCCTCCTACTTTGGTTAGAGGTGAACGGCGCGGCCGGTGGGCTTGACATCGGCGCGGTTGGCAGGCTTGAGAATGCCGCGGCCGGCGGGCTAGACTGAGGAGTGGCTGGTTTGGGGCCGGACGCTCTACAGACACCGGAGGATCCCCTCCCTCCAGCTTAGTCCCGTGGTGTCTGGGAGGTCCATGGGGCGATGGTAATTGGCCCCGTTCCAGAACAGAGAGTTGATGGTGGCGTCATCTAAAGCAGTAGCAGCGGCGAGCCCGCAGAACTCCCAGGCATACTCGATGAAGGGGAGATCCCTACGGGCTAGGACAATGAAGCGTGCAGCGATCTCCATAATCGCGGGGGGAAAACACGGAAAACAAAAACACTTCCAAAACCGGAAACAAAAACACAGAGAGTAGGGGTGCCGCTTACTGTTTATGGTCCTGTATTCTGTCACACTCTGCTACTGTGAGGAGCACGGAGCGAGGAACGAGGAGACGAGGAGTAGACTAATAAAGATGTCAGTCTTTATTTTTCTTCTTTTTAGGGCAGCAGTAGCTCTAGCAGCAAATCAACCATCCACATCAAAAGCTGCAGGACAGCCCACATTTCAGAAACAAATCAAAGAAAAAATAAACAAATACTACTGTTCCAAATATTCTGTATGTTGCTCAAAATATATTGTGTTCAGTTTGTTTTTTTGTTTTTTTTACCAAGACATTTAAAATTAACACATTTTAGAGCTGTAACAACAATACCGTGATACCGTGAAACCGTGATATTTTTGTTTAAGGTTATCATACCGTCAAAATCTCATACCGGCCTATGCCTACTTCAAATATAGAGACTTTAATAATATCCGAAGAACCAGGAAATCACACGTAGCGGGGAAAGACGACATTCAATACAGGACCCCGAACTAAGAACAGGAAACACTTTAAATACACAAGACATGACGAGGGGAAGACGAGAAACATCTGGGATCAATAAACATAATTAAACATGAGGGAAAACTGGGTCATGGAACACATGGGGAACAAAACGACAAGACACAGAACTGACAATATATATATATAATAGTGCTGTCAAAATTAGCGCATTAACGCATGCAATTAATTTTTTCTAGTTTAACGTCGTTAAAAATAGTTAACACCGTTAACGCAGGGGCAGGGCTAGGGTCAGCCACCCCACTCACAACAGCTGCTTCTGCCTCTTTTTTTTGACAAAAATTCTGTTTATTTAGACGCGCAGAACGTCTTTACCACATCAAACAGGAGACTTTTCAGATGCTCCACTTTGCCTCAGTGCCAGGCACGAGTCCAAACGAACAGGTGATGAGGAACTTCAGTACAACATCAGTGAACTGATGTCAAATGAGATGTTGTCAGGCCATATGTCAGTAAAAACTTATTTTCTTTTCCTGTCTGCTGCTATACTGTGCTTGTAACACATGCTCTTCAATTGCACTTATACATAAAAGGTTGTGAGAAAACACAATGCATGTCAGATCCGCGTCACGTTTAGCAGTGGCAGCTCTTAAAGAAATAGCAGCCAACAAACCTAATAACCCAGAAAAAAGAAAAAAAAGAGGAAATCAATAACATTTGTAGCTTTAAGGATTCAAATTAGAATTCAGTGTTTGATAACTTTATTCAATTTCAGTGTATTACCTACTTGCTGAAGGGCACAGGTATGACATTTATTATAATGGGTTTATGTGAAGATAGTTTTAAGTTAAATTAAAAGTTGTTATTTTTTAAAGTCTAATAAATGTTGCCAAATTTCATGGATGTCTTCACCTGGTCGCTGCCATTTGTGGGGGAGAAAGGTACCTATATTTCATATATATACAGTATATATATATATATATATATATATATACTGTATATATATGAAATATAGGTACCTTTCTCCCCCACAAATGGCAGCGACCAGGTGAAGACATCCATGAAATTTGGCAGCCAGTAAGGATGAGGGGAGCAGTTAAACTGTCGGATGTTCATTACATTGTTCTCATACTTCAGGACGGCAGCTGAGGAAGTGAATAACAAGAAAAAGTGAGCCTCCAGCTTATGAAAATTCGCAAATCAATAATATGAGAAATAATCTCAAGAGAGCGTGGCTTCTTGAGCCGCTGGGTTTGTTTCCTAATCGACTAATTCAAGTGGAATCGTTGTCTACATTTTTGGCTGAAACATTGTGTACACACAATGATATGACAAAAAGCCTCCACTAGATGGTACTGCTGAGAGGTTGACCCTGTTCCATCAGCGGATGATAAGACCACATGGATGGAGTCACTCAAGCTGATGGTCCTGCCCACGCTCTCATCCAGCTCTCTGTTCCCATCACAATGCTCCATTTTTCTCGCACATAAGGAAAACACGACTCACCTTTATTATTGTAAACATCAAGGTAGTTTGGCGCAGAGAAAATGGTAATAAGGGAAGGGAAGCCAGTGGTCTGACTCTTCCTGTACATCCGGTACCTTTTAGAAGAGAGAGAGAGAAGACAAAAACACTTTAATTTACTTTTTATAGACAAAATGTGCAGAAAACTGTATGAAAAAAAGTGTACCCTTAAAAGTACACCTTAGTGCCTTATCTACACCTAAAGGGTGCATATTAATACACAAAAATTGAAATACAGAGCGAAAGACAGGTAATACATACCCTGCATCTTGTGCTTCATGTGCTCGAATGATTGATAACAAGTTATTATTCTGTAGGAAGTCACAGACAGCCGGATAACTGCAATACAGAGAAGGAAAGGAGAATGAGAGAGAAAATAAGAAACATTCAGAAACAGTGGGTGGACGTGTCTCATTAATGTTGTATTGTTTTTTCAATGTTTTCCACTGTCAGCCAACCAAAACATTCATGTGTGAATGGAGCATGGGTGCAGTTCAACATGTGTCCAGCAGGGGCAGCGTGGGCTCAACTGTTGTTGTGCAGCATTATCATGTTGTTAACAGATATCCTGAGAAAGAAATCCTGTTTTTTTTGTTTTTTTTTACATATTTGCAATTATAGTTCATATATCTATAGAATAGATATAGAATGCATTCACAGTCTCAGCAGACCCAACATGATTTGAGTTTCAATTAAATTACTCATTCAAAGTATTGTGTTACTTTATCTCACAATGCTGAATCAATATTTTCATGCCAAGAATTTTTCACAAGACTATTTTTGGTAAAAAGAAGGTCACTATTCAGAGCAACTAAATTCTTTCGGTAACACTGTTTCCACTGTTTTTTTTAACAAATGCATTGCTCCTCATTAGTTAATGCTAGTTAATGCATTAACTAATGTTAACTAATGGGACCTTACTGTGTAGTGTTGCGATTGTTACTTTTCATTTAAACTCAGAATGATAATACAATTGCTATACACTAAAATAATAATAAAAAAACACTGCAATATCATAGTATTTTTACTTCTGGAACCATTGGGTTTTCCTACAGGGATTGTAAAAAAGTCTTTGTTTAAAGTGTTATACGCCATCAACTAAGCCAAACAGCTACGAGGTGAATCATAACATTACAAACTTTGATTTAAAGCAAGAAAGTATTTGAAAATCAGACAAAAAGACAAAATTACAGCTGAGTACTTAATGGCTTTGGTGAGGGAAAAAACTACAATCCCATGAAGCACTGCAAATGACAATAGAATGAAGAACAATGGAGAGTTATTTAACTAATAATTTTATATTTGTTTATTATACATATGGAAACAATATATTTTATTGCAAAATATGCATAAATATACATATAGTTAAGTATTTTGACAGCATAGCAACTGCCGCCTCGATTACGTTATAGTGCTGCTGGTAATGGGCGTTCCCGCAGAGCACTTTTGGCACAATTTGCTCACCATGACTCTGATTAGTGGAATTTTCAGTACAGAGTCATGGGTAATGTAGTTTTCATGACAAATTCAACTGTTAAACAGAATGAATTTAAAAAGCTTTAAAAATAAGAAAAAATGCAAACTAATGGCTTCAACAAAAACATATACATTCAATTAACAACCTCAGAACTCACAGTCTGGGTTTATGGGCTTATAAATTCATGTCAAAAGTCACTAAAATTGAAATTTTAACTTCCAGGACCCTGACTGTTGCTCTCTGCCGCAATCAAAAAACTGATTTACTATATTATCCTTTGATTTCCACCCACAGACAAGGAGATGTTAGGCAGAATGTTCATGCTGCTCTTTTCCATACAATGAAAATTAATGGAGATGGATGCTGTCAAGCTTCACTGTGAGAAAGCGCTAACATATGTTTGAGTGTGTAAAGGAGGGTGTGAGCTGCTCTCGGTCTTTCTCTCTCTCGTGTCGTCGGCTAATGAGGGGGCACTGCTGCTTTACCGCTGCTCTCTACCAATCACTTCTTCCTCTGCATCTGTCTTTCTCTCTCGCTATCACTCGCTCCAGTTTGGGAAGAGGAAACGGGTCGTCATGGCAACACCACACTGCAGAGCCCTTGGGGATTGTGGGATAGATCGCAAAGCTGAGTTGCCGCTGCTGGCTGCAGTGTAAGCTCTTCACTCACTCCTTCCATCTCACTCTTTCTGCTGACTACAGTGCGATGCAAAAGGCTGAAAGGGCATCCCCCCATCTCCTCTTCTGACAGCTTCACCCGAGTCTCGCATGACCAGACGTTTGATCAGCATAAAATCTGGTCCACTTCAAACTTAATCTGACAAAGAAGCATCCACATATGGTGCTTTTCCACTGCATGGTACAGCACGGTACAGCTCAGTACGGTTCACTTTTGGGGGGTTTTCCACTGGGTACAGTACCTGGTACCTGGTACTTTTTTTAGTACCACCTCGGTTGAGGTTCCAAGTGAACCGTACCATTACCAAAACGTGACGTGTAAACTCTGCTGATCACGGATTGGCCGGAGAGAATCGTCACTACCTGCGTCACTGAACTTGCGACACAAACACAAGAGAACCGCTAGATTTAAATCAGCACAGCCAGCGAAGGATCGAACGCAACTGTTTTAAACGAGCGCACCTTTTTTTAACAACCAAAAAGTGGCTGTTTCGTTGTCTGTTGAGGAAGTACAGACGTTCCTCTCGTTGATAGCAGAGGAGCGGATCCAGCGAAAGCTTGATGGGGCGACGCAGAATGAAAACGTTTTTCAGGAGTCACTGTAGTAGAGGCGGCGCAACTATAACGACATGTGAATAATCCTGCCCACTCTAAAGCGGTTCTAAACTTCAGTGGAAATGCAAACCGAGCCGAGCCGTGCCGTACTGAGCCGTGCCGAGCCGAGTTGTACCACGCAGTGGAAAAGCGACATTAGACAAATACGTAATATTTTTACATATTAGAAACCATGGCGGAAAATATATGAATTGGGATAAGTACATATTATTTGCAGACATAATTTAAAGGAACATTGTTTGTTGCAAATTCATCTCAATTGACAGCACTTGTGTTGATGAACCACTAAAAAATAATTTCAAATAATCTCATGATTTCTTCACCAAAAAAAAAAAAATCTGCGTTGCAGTGAGGCACTTAAAGTAAGGGCACATTTGCTGTTGTTCGGCGAATATTCACGGGTGAAATCTAGTAAATTCAATAGGAATCCAAACAATCTTAAATTTCGTCTGAGAATTTCTCTAAGCAGATTTCGCAACGGGTTCAAGTTGGTCATGTGGACTCGCTGTGTTAATCAGCAGAAAGCTGTTTAATAGTGCCTTTTGTGTGAGCTGTGATTTATACATTGCTACACAAACAGTACAGAAAGAAGACAATGGGGCTCTAAATTTTGCCGAAATTTCACTAATGTGAATGTGAAGTAAATGGAGCAAATGATAAGCTTCACATTTCTGTGATGATTCACATTACTTTTTCATTTTTGCTTTTTTATAGGAAAATTATTTTTTTTGTGGTAATTGTCCCTTCGCAGGGAGTTTGACTGACAGGCGAGCTGACCAATCACAATGCCGAATCTGCCAGACACCAGACAGTCGGTGGACTTGAACTTGAAAAATTGTGTTTTTTGTCTTTCTGCGGTTGAAACAAGGTACTTTCTGATGTTCATTCATGTATATTTTGTGCTATAACTAGTAAAGAGAAAGAAATTATCGCTTCACATGCTGCTTAAACTGAGATGCTGCAGCGATCTGTCACGACACATGCATTTCTTTAAAAAATTACAGTTTTTAAGTTGAGACTTTGTTTCATACCTAAAGTAACCTGCTCTGTCTTGTCTGTCGGCGCATTGTCAGTGTTCTCTTTGCTCCACAATGTAATTTTCACTGCGTGAGAACATGATGTGTGGCGTGAGAGCGGCATGGCTTGTCGGACATAGCAACATCAACTGGAGGGTCTTTGCAAAAGGTCAATTAACATTATGCCAAAAATGCTTAACTTGTATTGAACTTGTATTGAATATTCTGTATAAAATGCTCATGAATAAAATGTTATTTATTTTTATATTTATACTAATTATACTTACATTTACACTAATTGCTTCTTCTATTCTCTAAATATTCTCTCTTCATTTGTGCAAACGCTCTATGGGAACCATATACATGGAGTCTGCAAGTGCATAAAGGCAATCACATAAACAAACAGAGTGAATGGAGTGAAAGAGGAGTGATTAAACACCAACATGGTGATTCAGGGAGGTGGGCAGCTCGAAGAACACTGACAACACAGATTAAAACAAATGGCTTCTGTGCGCCTTGCATAACAGAGATGTGTGTGGGTATGTATCTGTCTAAGTAGAGTATGCAGCGCTGTGTGTATGTGTGATGAATTCAGTCGTGTGTGTTCTGTAACATGGCTGCCTCTGGTATTATGCATATAACACAGAGACACACTAATGAATGTAGGGCTCCAAACCACTGGCCAAAATCTGCAGTTTACACCAGACACTAAACACTGGATAGATAGATAGATAGATCCTGTTTGGTTTCAGAAGACTACATGCTAATGCTAATGCTAAAACACAAACATTTAAATGCTGAAAAAAACAGACCAATCTTCACTCTCGCTCAGAAACAAACACTTATTCTCATATACACCAGTGTACTGCCGTTCCATCAAATTTTCAGCAGAGTGTGTGAAATATTAAGAGTCTGTAGCTCTATGCAGTCAGAGCAGAGGACAGAAAACAACATCAACCCTGAGCACCTGGAGGGACCCAACAACCCCCCACCGACCCAGCTGTGACACAGTTATTTTTGTGCCTAACCTTATTGAATATGCATTTGTAGGAGTTTCCCTTTCAGATGCAAAATTAATGGGAGGAGAATATTACAATGAATCACGCAACGTGATTTAATATTGTTTGCACTCGTCAAATTATTGGTATTTGCGCCATTATTTAACGCCCAAAAAAAGCATGTCTTAAACTATTTTGCGCATTTGTTGCTAGGAGGAGGCACCACAGAGAACAGAGGAATGCCAGAGGAACACATTATCCGAATCCGTATGCTAATTTGCGATGCGCTTGGTAGATTGCATTGGTCATTATGGAAATTAGATGTCGCGTCTGTGTTCTTTAATTTGCGCATTGTCAGTAAATCACCTGCAGAAATTTCAACGCCATCTACGCTGTTTTGGAATTGCGCTCTCGCGCTAATTCGCCCTATTTAGTCAAACTGGCCCTAAGACTGAAGTAATGGCTGCTGAAAATGCAGTTTTGCATCACAGGAATGAATTACATTTTAAAAAACATAATATTTTAAATTGTAAGAACATTTCACAATATTAATGTTTTTACTATATTCATTGTGCTGATAATCCCATTATAGGCTATTTAATGGCAGATTATTTTGACAACTTTTAGTATGACAGCATATTCCTACTCAGACACATCAAAACACACACAAAAACCACCCACCTGTAGAAGTATGAGCATCCTCTGACTGAGTTGTGGCTAAAGTACTCTTGGCTCTTTTCATTGCCGAAGTCCTCCAAGGGATCGGACCAAAGCAAATCACACATAGGCCCAAATGCTGGGGGCTCCTTAAACCGGTCCAACTAGGCCACAGAGACACAAATATAATACAGAATACAGAAACACACACATATACTGCTTTCTTGTAGCCATGCATGAAATCTTTCTCCTCCCACACAGCGCTGCTGTTCACGCATGGCTTGGCAGTACCTTCTTTATGTCGTCTAAGGTCTGTATTTCTGGGGACAGGCCACCGTGGACACACAGGAACTGCTGGTTCATGAGAGCTGCCAAGGGCAGACAGTCAAATGCGCCCATACAGGCATCGTAAACCTGCTCTGAATACTTGATTTTACCTGATAGACAGTGAGGGAGAAAAACAGCAAGTGAGTACAAAGGAAAATAAGTCGTTTTGGTCACACTTTAGTTTGGGGACCAGTTCTCACTATTAAATAATAGATCACCCAAAAATGAACATTTTGTCATCATTTATTCACCCTCATGTCGTTCAAAACCTGTATGAGTTTCTTTCTTACGCTGACCACAAAAGAAGATATTTTGAAGAATTTTGAAAAACCAAACAGTTGTTGGGGACCATAACCTGTTTGATTACCAGCATTCTTCAAAATATTTACTTTTATGATCAACATAAGAAAGAAACTCAGGTTAATACAGGTTTGGAACGACATGAGGGTGTGATGACAAAATGTTAATTTTTGGTGACTATTAACTACAACTTTTGTCTCAAACTCCTAATTTGCTGCTTATTAATAGTTAGCATGGAAGTTGTTACATTTAGGTATAGATCAAAGGGGTGGTTGATTGCGATTTCACTTTTTTAACGTTAGTTAGTGTGTAATGTTGCTGTTTGAGCATAAACAATATCTGCAAAGTTACGACGCTGAAAGTTCAATGCAAACGGAGGCAAATGTCTTTTAAAATTATGGCAGTTTAATGCCTACAAAAATGGCTCGTAGGCACTACAACGAGCTACTTCCCGGGTTTGTGACATCACATAAATAGCCTACATTCTCTTATCAAGCCAGTATCTGTGTTTTGCAAAGACATTTTAATGCTAGCATAAAATGAGAAGCAACGGATATGCATTAGGTGTGTAATTTTCTTTCTTTCTTGGTGAATTTTCATTCTTGCCAAAGAGCATGATGGGAAATTTAGTTCAGTCTCCTCATAAACCCACTGAATGAGAAGCATTTTTTTTACTTCACTGTTCTATTCTATAAAAACGAAATACCATTAACAATTCATAGTTACTTTTAAAGATAAATATCACATTAGCTTCTGCTAAGATTCTTTAATTGACACATCATTAAAATTCTGTGCTTAAAAAAATGTAAATGCAACATTGCTGTGGTGTTCATGTGCATTCTTTATAATAATTTTATTTGATTTTACTTTATTTTTTACCTGAAAACCACTTTTAATGTCAGTCAAGCTTTCAAAACAGGCTGTATTTGCTACTGTACCTTTAAGACAAGGAAAGATGTTACGAATATTGGTTATTTTTAGCATAATGGCTTAGTTTACACTGTAGTTGTTATCAATTCTGGTCATATTCATTATAGGCATGACTGAGACTGCATTGTTATCATTAATGCATGTTTACACACTGCATCAAGTTGCGAAGGTACGTCATTATGACAAAGAAACAAGAAGTGACATCATGTTTTTTTTTTAGTTATTTTGCAAAAACAAACTAATATTTGTAGCAAGCAACAGCTATTTTGTTATAACAGCACTTATCATGTTTGTCTCCGGTCTCATTAGATTCCTACTGGGACCGAACTTTAGCGGTCAGCCCCATGTGTCTTAGTGCGTCACAAACACTCACACACAAGATAAAGTGTCTCCAAACGGAAGAGGGTTTTTTTTTCTCTCTCAGTGTGTCGACGCGTGTCCTATTCTCATTATGTCTCAATACGCCGCCTCTCAAAAGCATTTGTAACCATAGCGACAGGTCAGTGGAGTAGACACAGAAAGAGTTTGCCGTCAACTCCGCACCTCTCCCTCCCACCTCACCTGTCTCTGCGCTCCGCCGCTCGGCCTCATGGGAAAGCTCCATTCTGAAGCATTACCTCATACTCCACATCCCACCCCTCCTCCACCCCTCCCAACTGCTCTGCGTTATAAACCTCATTCTCTTTAAATGGAAAGATTTGTCCTTTCAGGAACAATAGACATTGTAGGAAATTATCAATGTGAATTGAGGGTTGTGCTCCGTTATTCTAATTTGATTATTTTCAGTGAAATATAGGGAAATACCCCTTTTAAACGTTGTCATTGTTCAGAAATGTGAACTCTACTGGAAAACTAACCTTTGTAATATAGGAACATATACGAATTCATGTACTCCTTTTAAAACTGATTTACTAATCAAATATACAAAAAAATTAAAAATTTTGAAATATAATATAAATATAAGTTACATTAAATATATATACACTACCGTTCTACAGTTGAGGCTGGTAAGATTTTTAAAATGTTTTTAAAATCTCTTATGCTCAACAAGGCTGCATTTATTTGGTCAAAAATATAGTAAAAACAGTAAAATTATTACAATTTAAAATATTTGTTTGATATATTTTAAAAAGTAATTTAAATGCTGATTTGCTGCTCAAACATTTCTTATTCTTATTTAAAACCGACTGTGCTGCTAATATTATTTAATTAATTATGTAATTAATATATAATTTACATCAAATATATATTTTTTGGAAACATTATAAGTGTCTTTACTAACACTTTAATGCATCTTTAATGAATAAAATAATTAAAAGTATAAATCATACTGACCCCAAACTTTTGAATAGTATACTACTAGTGAAAAAGCTTCTGTTTAGCATTTTTTACTATTTTTTTTTTTTTGCTATTACAAATTATATTTGCAGCATATTAATACAACACTGCAAGCATGACAAGGGGGATACTCACATTCTTGTTTGAAGGTGAAATATTCTGTCAAATGTCTACATTCATGATTTCCTCTCAGTAAAAATAGCGTCTTTGGGTAGAGCATTTTCAGTGACCAGAGGTACAGAACACACTACAGAGAAGGAGAGAGAAAAAGAGATGAAACATAGGGCCATATCCATGAGATACCTACAAACACCATGCTAATGCAGGCCAGCACCAGGTCTGTGTAGTGTTAATGATACTCTTCCAATTACATTACATATGTTATCACATCTACTGTCAGTCCTCATCACCTTCACTGGCTGCCCTCGGACCATACATGGGCTTCCTTTACTGCTAATACACACACAGTTAAGCACAACTCATGCTGATCTCATGCTTTAGCAAATAAAAGAAGAATTCTTCAGCAAAACATTGGGAGCTGAGTGAATTAATTGAGCAGTCGGTGTTGAGATGTGTTCGCAGAGCTAATCATGGCCTGCAGTCAAAGATGGCAGAAATTGGACATGTCAAAGAACACGAATGTCAGAGCACAGCGCTCACAGATGACTGATTCCTCCTCTCTGTTTGAAGCTGGAGGATGATTCCCTGACGTGTATGACAGAATTGCCCATTCTTGTTATCAAAGGAACACTTGAGAGTTACAAGATAACTGGGATGAGACTATCAGCCAATAACCGAGCCTGCTTGGTCAACAGCAAGTGCAGTTTATGCTTTTAATGCAAGTTTCATTGAAAATGAAAAATGTAGATTCATTTTTAAGTGAATTTTAAGAATTGAATAAATACAGGTATTACTGAGGGAGGACAGTTATGCTTCAGTTGCAATAGAAGTCATTTATGAGCTGCAGACACGGATGTTTGTACATGTTCATTAATATATTTTTAAATGTTTATTTCATTTTATATTTTATTTCATTATTATTGGCATCTTATTTTTTTTTGTCACATGATGCAAGTAGTTACAGCAGTGTCTTGCAATGTTGTAATTTATCTTGAACAAAAGCTTATTAATGCTTTTATAATTATAATGCTGTTTTATGAATATTTATTGATTAATTAAATAGCTATAATGTGTATTAATTTATTAATAAATATACATGGAATACTTTTTTTTTTTAAATGTCACATTGTATTTATAATTTTTTAAAATAGTATTTAGCTATAAGTGTTTTTAATTTATACATGAAAAAATACTATAGTAATTTTGTCACGTCACACACACGAGGATAACCGGAACTAAGGAGCGAGGAGACGAGGAATATACAAAACAGTCTTTAATCCATGGAACACAGGGTACATAAACACAGGAGACAGCAGGAAACACATCCACGTAACGAGTAGACCAGAAAAAAGGGAAACTGAACAGGCAGGAACTTAAATACAAGGGTAATTAATAGAACACAGCTGAACGGAATCATAATTAAACTAAACAAGGACAGGAAAATGACCAAATAAGGAAACACAGAAAGGCACATGAGAAGCAAAACACACACAAAACACGGACCAGAGTCTGACATAACTCCCTCCTCCCGGAAGGCGTGTCCCGTGCCGTACAACATCCAATGGGGGGGGGCGGGTGCTCTGGAGGCCTCTATGAGCCGGGTTACCGGACGGAAGGCCTCCAGGGTGTCCATGGCGGATCTGGCAGCTCTGGGCGCCATGACGGAGCAGGTGACTCGGGAGGCCATGGCGGAGCAGGGAGCTCGGGGAGCCATGGCGGAGCAGGTAGTTCAGGAGGCCATGGCAAAGCAGCCTCCGAGGCCATGGCCCCAGCCCCCGCACCGGCCTCTATGGCTCGAG